TGGACGTTCGAAGAACGCATTTTGCTCCTCGACAGCCCCATTGTCCATTACATAGTAGCACACAGGCCTATGCTTCATCAAGTCTATGGTATCTTCTTCCTCATATTCATCAATTTCAGTTTCCTGTCCAAATTCACAGGGAAGCACAGATACCACATTGCAGTTTAGGTTGAACGAAGATTCCCCCTCCGATTCGAAGTTATCTGTTATCATATCTTCGTCTTCTTCTGGGCCTGGAGTGTATTCCTTTGGTTCATCCCGTTGTACTTCAGAAAAAATCCTCCTATTAACTGGAGGTTTGTCTTCAATTTTATTTTTTGGTGTGGGTTTATTGGTGCTTGATTCACCTTGGTTCTTTGTTGAAGTGACCCCTTTATTTACCACAACTTCCCTCTCAACCTTTCGAACCATCTGTTGCCTGCGCCACTGGGATCTCGACATGGGGTTCCTTCCTTTGTAGTTTTCTAATCTTACCTCTTCCCTCTTTGCTATGTTGAATTGCCTTCTGTATGTCATAGCATGGCGTCCATTTAGTTCGGTGTTTCTCCATCTGTCTTTGCCTTTGTCATTTCTGACTTGCAGCCATCTATCGGTTGGCACTTCAGCAGGGAGTTTGAAAGTCACTCTTCGAGCAACCTTGGGGTGAGGGCTATCAGGCCTTCGTTGTTTGTGTCTGCTGTTGAAACATGGGCCCATCTGGACAGTTTCTTGATGGTTCCAGCAAGGGGCGAAGGGAATTGTTTCGAAGGCTCTGGCCATGCTTTGATCATACACAGCTGAACACCTTGGGCATATCAAGCACTTGGTTGCCCCTTTGTAGCAGCGAAACATAAATTCCAGCAAACTTTCTCCGGCCTTGGGATAACACTTGAATAACTGGTTATCCTGGCGCCAATTGTTGCCAGTTCGAGCTCTCTGTACCCTCTCGAAATTCGCAATGATTCTCTGATTGCAGAGGATGCTGCACCTAGGGCACAGTATCATGCTTGTATCTCCCTTGTGGCATGTCATGAGGTAATCCTTGAGACTAGCATCTCCAGCGTGATTATCCTCCATTTTATACTTCTTTTTTTCCAAGTATCTTTCTACCTCCTCCATCTCAGAGTGAGGTCTTTCCATGTCCACCATGTTTACCTCAACATCTTCCCCCTTAACTTCATCATCTCCCCATCCTGTGGGTTTTATATCTTCAATGTGAACCTTCGAACTCTCTGGGGAAGAATATTTGACCAAATAGTCAAATTTTCCACTGGGTTCCCCTAGAGTGTCCCATATTTCCTTCTGAGGGGAAGTTGGCTTCGTGATTTGGACTTTCTCCAATTCCAGCCTCAGGCCTTCAGTGACCTGTGTCAACTCTTGGTTTTGATTTTCCTGGCCTTCAGTAGCCTGGGTTTCTTTTGCAACAGCTACAGGTGCTGCTTCAATCGAAGTCTCTGGTAGCTTCTGGACGTCTTCAGTGACCTCCTTATCGACTTCGACTATCACCCAGCTTTCGTTTTCAGTACCTTTCTCTCCTATTGGGGCATCACTTTGGTCAGCTTCCACCATGTTAATCTCTCCAATGCATGCAGGCTCGGAGTAGTTGGTGTCTGCGACGTCCAAGGGATCTTCGTCCACTTTCATCTTTGCTTTATCAGCAAACTTCAGTCTGCCATCTTTGATTGCATTCTGAATTAGGTCCCTGAAAAGAAAACACTGTGAGGTTTTGTGGCCTAGGAAACTATGATATTTGCAAAATCCTCTCTTCTTTCTTTGATCTAAAGGAGGAATTTTGACATTTGATGGCACAATGAGTTGGCCATCTTTGACAAGTAAATCAAAAATCTCGTCACATTTAGTGAAATCAAAGGTATAAACCTTCTTTGGGAATTTGTCACTTTTCTCATTTTCAACAATCTCTTTCCCTTTTGTGGGAACTAATAATTTGCAGGAGTAAGGTGGTGCCTGTTTTAATTCAGCGAGGTCGATTTCGACCTCTTCGAATTCGAATTCAGGATAATCTTCTGCTTCCTCAGTTCCAACATAGGAGATCCTTTCCTTCTTGTTATTTTTAAAGACTCTGGCCTTTTCGGCTTTTAGCCTTTCGACCTGTCGAACCCTGTCGGCTAACTGAGCCATGTCCCTCAAATATTGAGTGTCTAGTTTCTTTCGAATAGAGTAATCCAGGCCACCAGCGGCCATTTTGACTAACTCATGTTCAGGCACCACTGTGTAACATCTGTATTTCAAAAGCCTAAATCTATTCAGATAATCATCTATGGGTTCTGTGAACTTTCTCTTGATACTGGCTAATTCTTTCAAGCTTATTTTCGACTGTCCCATGTAAAACTGTTCATGGAATAATCTCTCCAAAAGAGCCCAAGTATCAATGGACCCAGGAGGCAAAGTGGTGAACCATGTGAAGGCGTTTTTTGTCAGGGAACTTGGGAAGTATTTGATCCTGAGGTCTTCATTATTGGCTATATCTCCCGCTTCGGTTAGATATCTGGCTATATGTTCGACTGTTGACTCATTGGTATCCCCAGCGAACTTTGTAAATTTAGGGACTTTATACCCCCTTGGTAAATCAGTATGCATTATGCAATCTAATATAGGAGAAGCATAATTTGGCCTTCTAATTCCTGTGTTGAGGCCATTCTGGGCCATGACTCTTTCTATCATGGTGGTTAAATTGTTTTCTGCCAAGATGTTATCGTTTCGAATTCTATGAACGACAGCATCAGCATCTTGATTTCGACCAACCATGACAACCCCCCTAGGTTGTTCTTCTCGAAACTCTGGGACTTCCAGCCTTTCGACCCTTGCCCCTGGTTCCATAATTTCTCTCTGTGGGCCTGGGATCATTGGGGCTTCTAGCCTTTGTGCCCTTGCCCCCAAGTTAACTTCTTCTCTAGGTGGTCTATAAGTTGGGTCGTTAGCAACTTGTTCCATAACAGGGATGTTTGCTCGAACTCCCGCCTGATTCTGCCTACGCCTATCTGGGGGAGCAAAGAAATCTGCTATTCGACTCATGTTATCAGCGTTTTCTCTGTTTTTCACAGTCACATTTTGTACTATTGGGGCAAATATTTCCTGCATAGTTTGTGCTAATACCCCTATCATATTATGGTTACTGTCATCCATCAATTGCCTAAAAGCCAACTGGTTTTCTGTGGTTAAAATAGGCATTGTGCTATAACCCACTGACCCTTGGTTATTTGTCATAAACTGATTCGCCCCAGACCCAGACCCTAATTGTGGTGATGAATTCGATGTGGAATTGTGTAAACCTGCCATAAAAGATGTTGGCATTCCGTAAGAGGAATTTCTGGTTCTATTACCATCGAAACCGGGTGGTCTAGTTAGTGGAGTGGCGAAATGGGTTTGTGTCCCTGATGGTGGAACAAATCCCCCAGGATAACCAATGGTTCCAGTATTTCCTAAGATCGAACTATTAGTTGATATGCCACTTACTCCATTAGTGGCTATATTACTGGTAGAAGATGCAACAGACTGTGCATTCGAAGGGATCACATTAGACGTTCCCATCGAAGCGGACACATTAGTGCCTGTTGTATGTGGGGAATTTTGTTCCCCTTGTTGATTGTCAGAATTAGACATCTTGTTCAAACGTTTTCTTCTGGATAAGGGTTGGTTGCTGTTGGTTATTTTACCACTTCTTAGGTTCATAAAACAGCAAACTTCTTAGGTTCCAACGTTTTTATAATGGTTATGTCTCAACAATCTTTATTTCTAATGTCCAACGATTGGGTCCCACCGGGTGTGCCAATTTGTTTACAGTGATTTCTGGTAAACAACCGCTAGTCTTCCAAACTATCGAATAAACTTACTGACTGTTATTCAATTTCTCTGGTAACTCGCAGGATCGACTAGATTGATCCTAGGACGTGTTGGTCATTAGGGTAACTCTCATGATCGAACAGGTATTCATGGTTGGTATTTAGAGTGTTGTGTAGGTGTTTGACTTATTTCGATTTCTCTCTTAAAGATCTAAAGGTGTAATCAAAATATATGTGCGCGAAACTAAATTGCATGAATAAATGTTAATTGTAAAGACATGTAAAACTGCATAAAAGACAAGTAAATGGCTTCGAATCGTAAAGAAAATAGTTAATGTAAAAGATTCGAAATGTGAAGAAAGCGTTTAATGCAAGAAAACTGTAAAATTGCTTTAAGTAAAAGAAATGTTCGAAGGGTAAAAACTTAAAGATAAAGGCATGAAATGTATAACAGTTTCTGAAATGCAAAGTGTTTGAAATGGAAAGAAAGCATTTAAATGTAGGGCATCAATGAAAAGATTTCGAATAAAAAGACTTTAAATGCAAAAACTTGTAAATGGTATTGATACAGAGACAAAGGAAAGTACTGGAAATGATAAAGGGTTTTCATTAAATCATAAACATATGGTGCTATCATACGTACATTGCTCTTGCATTCGTTTCCCTAGCCATGTGGTAATTTGAATGTTTACTGAGTTTTTTGTACAAATAGATATGACACACGAAATCCTAATGCTAAGACTTCTATTTATACTACTTCGACCATAACGGTCTTGCTATAAGAGTCTGCCACGTTCAGAACATGCAGAGCAATGCCTCTCTCTTGCTTCCACGTGTCTTCGAATGCTCCAGCGCATACATTTCAAACTTCGAACATCCCGCTTGCATTTGAATTTCAAATGTTTTGACACTTCTTCGCTTCGAACGCCCTTCTTAGACACATCTTTGTTGTCATTTCGAGACTTCTTTAGATATGTTCTCATAATTTCCACTCGAAGCTCCAAGTTTTGATATGCTCATTCGAAACACTGCTTCTGCTATTTTGAAACATGACGCTTTGTTTCATTTCAATCGAAACGTCCACTTTTTTTTGCTTCTAATAATACTATTAAAATCTTCAGCCAACAACGCGATAGCGTTGCCTTCTCTTCATGTGACACTGCTCGTCAACTATGGCTGGCCATTGAAGCCAAGTATGCAAATCCATCACGAGCTCATGTGATGTCTCTCAAAAACCAGCTGCAGAGAAGCCGTAAAGGCTCTCAAACTATCACTGAATTTTTATTTCAGGTGAAAAGAATAGCTGATGAACTAGCAGTCTTGGATGCTACAATCTCAGATGACGACATCACTCTCTATGTACTCAACGGTCTTGGATCAGATTATCGTGACATCGCTGCTTCCATCCGAACTAGAGAACGCTCCTTCACCTTTGAAGAGTTACACAACAATCTCATTGCACATGAAGAATTCATGCAGAAAGAAGATGCACCTGCAGATGTTACTGTCCCAACAGCAAACTTCTATCAGTGAAATGGATCTCGGAATTTTCGTGGACGTAGTTCTTTTCGTCGAGGCGGTCGTCATGGATCGAATCAAAATATAAATCCTTTTCTATCAGATTCATTCCACCCGACGCAGTCATCCCCACGCCACCAAAATGCATCAAACAACCATAGTACAAATCGGCCTCTTTATCAAGGACCATCGAGGAACCAACACCATTTCAATCATCGAGCGAATCGCCCACCTCCACGCTGCCAATTTTGTGACTTTCCTGGACATATAGCCAAATATTGCCCACAACTTATGCAATCCATCCCTACTGCTAATTATGCTGCTGCAAATGCAAACTGGATCCTTGACAGTGGAGTCAATCATCACATCACTGCAGACTTGAACAACTTAAGTCTTCACTCAAACTACGAAGGCCCTGACTCGGTCACAATTGGAGACGGCTCAGGTTTAGCCATTACACACATGGGTTCAACTCATCTCTCTACTCCTTCTACTATTTTTAATCTTAATAATGTTTTATGTGTTCCAAAAGCAAGTCACAATTTAATTTCTGTTGCCAAATTCTGTCAACAAAATAATGTGTATGTTGAATTTCACCCTTTCTCCTTTTTTGTGAAGGATCTCAAGACAGGGGCGACGTTAATGTGCGGTCCAACTAGTGGTGATATCTACACCCTCCAACCCTCACTCCCCACTCCACCAACCAACCTTCACGCATCACGGTCCACTAACACCCTTTGGCATGCTCGACTAGGCCACCCCTCACCCAAGACACTTCATCAAGCTCTCAATACATTTCTACCTTCTAGTCCTCATATTTCAAGTTCTACATGTAACTCATGCTTCTTGAATAAAAGTCACAAATTACCATTTCACAAGTCATCAATAAAAACCTCTACTCCACTTGAATTAATTTTTTCTGATGTTTGGGGTCCCTCTCCAATAACCTCTGCTAATGATTATCCCTATTATCTTATCTTTGTTGATCACTTCACTCGATATTCGTGGTTATATCCATTAAAACAAAAAGTTAAAGTTGTCACAATCTTTCCTCAATTCCAAAGAACTATTGAAAACTATTTTTCCTTCAAAATTAAATCCATTTACACCGATGGAGGGACAGAATATATAAAATTAAAATCCCACTTTTCCATACATGGTATATCCCATTTCATCTCTCCACCATACACCCCAGAGCACATCGGACTAGCCAAGCGTAAACATTGACACATTGTTGAAACAACCCTCACACTATTAAGCCATGCTTCCATTCCATTAAAATATTGGTGTTATGCATTTCAAGCCTCTATATATCTCATTAACAGAATGCCCACTCCTTTACTTTGTGATAAATCACCGTTTGAATGTCTTCACAACAAACTTCCGTCCTATAAAATTTCAAAGTTTTTGGATGTCTATGTTCCTTGGCTACGTTCATATGCTCCAAACAAATTATCTCCACGTAGTACACCATGTGTCTTCATTGGTTATTCTACACAATATCACTCTTACATTTGTCTAGATCGAGCCACTCTAAGGGTGCATCTATCCCGCCATGTTATTTTTGTTGAAGACCAATTTCCCTTCTCACACCCAAACCCACAACTCTCACCTCCATTACTGCCGCAACATTCATGGCTCCCACTTCCCAATTTCTTGTCTCACCCACATCAACCTAACACATCCAAAACCATAATTCCTAATTCCATACTACAAATCCCTCCCGTTACAGCCCCACATGACTCTCACTCATCCCCTCAAACCAGCTCCAATATTAACCATGCCATTTCTACTACACCTCAATCAACTGAACCTACACCTTCAAACTCAAATAACATCCAACCATCACCTTTACCCACTCCTACATCAACACCGCAAACCACACCACCATTGGAACGCACATCAATGTCATCCTCTGAACCTTTGAGACCCATCACACGGTCCATGCATAACATACACAAGCCAAACAAAAAATATTTACTTGTCACAAAACATCCTTTACCAGCATCGCATGAACCCACGTGTGTATCACAAGCAATGGCTTCCTCTGAATGGCGTGCTGCCATGGCATCCGAATTCAACGCATTGATGCAACAAGGAACTTGGGATTTAGTTCCCAAAAACACAGCATCTAACCTCATTGGATGTAAGTGGGTGTTTCGAGTAAAACGTCGTCCAGACGGTTCCATTGACATATACAAGGCACGCCTAGTCGCGAAAGGATTTCATCAATGCCCTGGACTAGATTATGATCAAACATTCAGCCCTGTGGTTAAACCTTCAACAGTCCGGTTGGTTCTCACATTGGCCATTCAACAATGTTGTCACATTCGACAGTTGGATGTAAACAATGTGTTCTTACATGGTAAGCTTCTAGAAACCGTATACATGCAACAACCACCAGGATTTCATCATCCAGATTACCCTGACCATATCTGTCGGCTAAAGAAGTCCTTGTATGGCCTAAAACAGGCCCCTCGGGCTTGGTTCAACACCTTGCATTCTTTCTTACTGTCTTATGGGTTTGTCAACTCCAAATCTGATCCATCATTATTCATTTATCTAAAAGGAGATGTCAAAGTCTACACCTTGGTATATGTTGATGATATTTTAATTACAGGTAATAACAATGAAGCAATTTCTAAGTGAATTTCAACACTAGCCACTAAGTTTTCCATCAAAGACTTAGGATCCATTCATTTTTTTCTTGGTGTTGAAGTCATTCCCACCACTCAAGGATTATTTTTGAGTCAACATAAATATATTCATGATCTGCTTGATCGCACAAAGATGAAAGATGCAAAGATGGTCCATTCACCGTTGTCCACATCTTCTCCTCTTACCAAATCTGATGGCGCAAGTGCAGCAAATCTTACGGAATACAGAAGCATCATAGGGGCTCTACAATATCTGTCCATGAAAAGGCCTGACATAGCCTACACCGTAAATAAGCTCGCACAGTTCATGCAACATCCATCATCCACACACTTCACAGCCTTGAAAAGACTTCTTCGGTATCTCAAAGCCACCATTTTTCATGGACTGCACTTAAAACGTTCATCTTCCCAAAATCTCTATGCATTTAGTGATGCCGATTGGGCTGGAAATCGGGATGACTATACATCCACCTCTGCATATGTTACTTTTTATGGTGGTAACCCCATTTCTTGGAATCTTTTAAACAAAAAGCTGTTGCAAGATCATCCACCGAAGCCGAATACAGAGCTCTGGCATCTGCATCCGCAGAAGTTCTTTGGTTGTCATCACTTCTCTCTGAACTACATGTCAGTATACCAACTATTCCTACCATCTACTACGACAATCTCGGTGCCACTTATCTCACCGTCAATCCCGTCTTCCATAGTCGCATGAAACACATTGCCATAGATATTCATTTTGTCAGAGATCATGTTCGTAATAACAAGATTCGAGTTCAACATGTTTCAACTAAAGATAAACTCGCAGATTGCCTTACCAAACCCTTATCCAGGCAGCGTCATCAAGATCTTCGATTCAAGATAGAAGTATATGACGGTACCCCTATCTTGCGGGGGCGTGTTAAGGTTACAGAGTCAAAAACATTTAAATCAAGAGATACTCTAGGATCAAGCATTCAAGATGAGAGTTATTGTAGGATCAAACAATCAAATCAAATTATAACTAATTAGAGGAAATCAAACAATAGCAGTAGGAAGCAATTATTATGATAGCAAACTTATTTCTATATATTGTACCAATACACCTTGTAAATAATGATTAATATAACAATATTCTTTATATAATCACATTATGTTTGATGGAGAAATGAAATGCTTCAAATCTCATCCTCGGGGCCTAAAAGGTGAGACATAATGAAAATGATGAAATTGTTGAATTTTTTTAAGTTATGTTCCACATATTTCTATTATGCCTCTAAAAATGACAATAATATCAATTTATTCATCAACTACTTTACTACTCTATTTAAATTTGAATTAAATTTTAAAAAATTGATGAAGTTCAAACAATACTTGAACTTTGAATCAATTTATCCTCTCACGATAGATTTGATAATTGGTTACATAAGTTTTACTTTGACTATTCTATTGTATTGGCATACATGCTTGAGTGATTCCTAACTCTCCAATTATACATCTTATCGAAATGACTTTCTTGATCCTTGAACTAAGGAAATATATCCAATTTAATTAGTAGTTATAGACATTATTTTTTTTCCAACTTATAGTCATTCCAACCAGAATAAACACACAATCCAACAAAAATATTTCTTTTGGTCTGTATTTGTGTACTTCAAATCACCCTGAAATAAATCATTTAAATATCTAAGTATTCACTTCAAAGGATCAAAAAAATAAAATCAGTCATTAACTTTCTATAAATTGACTTACTATACTAATTGCATATGAAAATTTTGATCTATAACAAATCATACCAAACATGATGTTTTCAACCCTACTTATATAAGAAGTATTCTCCATCATCTTCTTTTCATCCTCGATTTAAGGTCATTTGCATAACCAAAAATTTAATGCAATGACTCAAATGAATGTTATCAGTTTTAGCATAAAGAATTCTAAACCACCCCATCATTTCATTCAAGTAACTAGTTTTGATTTAAAAAATTCATTTCTTTCACAATTTTTGATTATATCCATCCATACATAGGGTATTTCTAGCTTCACCAAAATCATTCATCTCAAATTCTTCATTAAAAATCTCCTTGAGATTATTGTTCTCTTTCTTTCTAAAATTTGTCATCAATAAATCATCAACATGCAAAAGTGGATAGAGAATTATTTTTTCATTCCTCTTCAATATGTATACACAATTATCCTAACCACTTCTTACAAAGTCACGCTTTAAAAGAAATTCATCAAATTGATCCAAGGCTTAATTTCAACCCATACAATTTCTTTCAAAAGACACACCTTATACTTGTCCTCTGTAAAATCTTTAGGTTGCTCCATGTATATTGTCTCTTTAAGGTCTCCATGTACGAAAGTTATTTTTCTGTT